CTTATTTCAAACCAATGCTCCAATTTGTGAGATATTTTGATGACATTTGCTAACCTGATTCCCCCTAAAGACGAACTGCATTCAAAACGTTTCGAATTGGACCAGGTTTTTTTATCATTTTCCATATAAAGTCTTATCAAAACGTTCGTTTCGTTATATAAACAACTATAAGGTGGCAGAAGATGCCATGGCCCACTATAGTGTTTTAATTTGTTTGATTTCAAACTAAGTCAAAAAATCATGAAAAGATTAATGAAGAGTAAAAGCGATATATATAAAAAATGAATCGAAATACTATGTGAAGACTAAAGCCATTGAAAACAAAATTGAAATCAAGTGTACAATGTAATAAAGCTCTGTATCTGAAGGAATGAATCGGTCTACCGGGATGTATGATGCTCATGCCGATGTTTGATGCAAGGTTGTCACCTATTAGCCTGTTATTACATAAAAATCAAGTCTTAATGACATGACTTGATTTGCCTTGACCTGATTTGATTATGATTCAGCAAAACTCCACAACACTACTTGCATGGCCAAGAACGCTTCCTAGGTAAAAGTTTAATGTAAGATCCGCTCAATAGAATATTACGTGAAGGTCAATCGACTTTGGAAGAGAAAGACGCGCAATATTTGGAGAAGTGGAGATTGAAAACTTACATACGGTGTTAAAGACACTGTATAGAGGGCGTTTATAAAAAGCGAACTAAGTGCTGCTGAACTAAAGACCGTACCAATATCGGCTCTCGCGTAATCCAGCACCAAAACTGAAGAGTTCAAAGAGCATCTAATCTATAATTCTGAATCTAGTCCCGGGATATCAAATCCATGTTTATATCTGCACGACATAGTTATTAATGAATTATCTTTCAATACGATCGCTTTAGCAGAACCCTGTTGACCTGGGACTAAGCGCTCATCAACTAGGTTCAACGAATGCCTGGCTGAATGACGATATCTGCGAGCAACTATATATAAAACTTCTATGCGAGAGAGGATTAGATGAAAGCAAGGGAATTGCAAAAAGAAAAACAAAAACGTCGGTAATTTTGTGTAACATATTTTGATGGAAAAGTACAAGAACAACACCTAAAATCACAATTAGCTAAAGATACTGGAAGAAGGGTAACCGAAATATTATCCTACTAGTGATTTACGTAAATGGTTTCATAATAAAACGAATAAAGAGGAATTTCAGGAGAATTGTCTTCGTCAAAAATGTAGAGATCTTGAAATACTAATTGGAGGTAGAATTTCAGCTAACTTAACACGACATTCCATGCAATGATATGCGGCTTCGTGGACTCGATTTTACGCCGGTAAGCACAGATACAAAAACTATCTAAAGGCAAATGTTCAAAAGATTAGGATTTCTAAACTGGGTTCATGTTTTAATCCGGATGCTCCGGATGCCGACTGGAGCGCTGAAGTTTCGAAATCTTCCTCAGGACGCACCGAACTGTCGCTACGTCAACTATTGAAGCCAATTGCATGAAATAATCGAAAGCGGTTAAAGTGGTCGTTCATCTTCGACTTTGCGTACACTATATTACGGATGAGCTAAGGAAGAGCTGCAAGCTGCAATAATATTCATTGACAATTGCGGTAAAATCCATATATACTACGTGTAAGTATCTGGATACACGTTAGAATATTATGGGGGAGATGGCCTTATCTCCATCAAAACATGCATCAATCCCTTGGATTTGGCTAAAGTTATCGACTGATATTCGCGCTGAACGCTGGGGGCCGTTTGAAATGAAGAATTGTCGTACATTGTCTATTTTTATAACTGCAAAGCTTACAAAGACAAATTAGTAAATAGTTCCACATTGTAAGCATTTAAGAAAGTGCGAGTGTTTTCAAAATCAAATTATAGTTCAGTAAACCTGTTACGCTTGTGAAAAAGGCTATTTCGAATGAAAGACTATTCCCAATATATTTTTATAAATTATTCAAAGTAAGTAATCGTTGTTTCAAGAGATTAACATCACTGCTAACAGCTTTAAGATTTGCCTTGAGATTGTTCCAGCAAAGAGTGACTTTTTAGCAACTGAAGTGGGTATGCGGGGTACGGCAAATTGGGGACTTCTAGTAGATCTGCTATACTGAAATCGCCTCCAAAGGAAGCGAGACGATTCAAACTTAATAATTTTAAATATATAAATCGGAAATCTAAATTTAAGGTAACCTTCAAAAGGTAATTTTAGGAAAATTCGAACTTGAGATGATACCCGATCTATGAGCGTACGATTTCACAAGTACATAGTTAATTTTATTTATTTGCTTATTTATTTGACTAATACAAGCCAGCCAGCTGTTGCGCGGTGTGCAAAGGAGCTTAAAGTTATTTATTTTATAAGCTAAATTTAAATAAATAATTCCTATGTCATTAATAAAATTAAAAAAAAAAAAAAACAATAGGCTTCTAGTCATTTACAACATACACAAATCCATACATATTACTATATGACAAGTATGGCGAGTGAATTATTAATAATTTCATCTATTCGAATCGGAAAAGGGGAACAAATTCGATAATCAACGTTAGTGTTTCTAAAGGCAACATAAAAGGGGTTGCAAAGTTCATAGTTGGAGTGAAAGCGCGGTACGTTAATTGCGATATAATGCTTCGACTCCTCGGACTAATAAAGTAGGCCACGAGGCTTAGCTATTAACCTACTGCGCCATAACGACAATTTCAAGGCCATAAAGAATTGGAAGATTAATCAATTTCAGACGGTTAATATGGAGGCGGATCATAAGCCAAATATTACGAATCGTTTGTGTACAGGCTCTATGAAATCAATATTACATTCATAACTTAAAGATCGCACTATTGACGCATATTCAAGGTTTAACCTAACCCACACAATGAACAGACTCTTTGCAATATAAGCATCATTGAATTCACGAGATCACCTTTTAAAGAACGCCTGCGTACCTCTGGCCTTATAAACGTATATGGAGATTGATGCTCATTTCCGCTCACATCCAAATCTTTAAAAAATGGATTTAGCTTAGCGAGATTCCATACATGCAGCCTCTTTAGTGGATTACTGTATTTGCGGCATCAGACAGCGGTGGACGAGTTTAAGTTTGAGCTTGACCGACAGAGACACATTGAAGAACTTTCGCAGAGCTCGACAAGCTTTTACGTTAATACAATTCATAGAGGGGCTAAAATTTAATTGGTTATCGAATATTAATTTAAGGCATCGCATAAGCTCCACGACTTCAATATACGTATCATATATTTCATTATTAAGACTGATGCTATTGCGTTGTCTGGAGCGGTTGAAAAGACCAGTTTTCGATTTATTGGTATTTACGGAGAGAGAGAGTTATTGAGCATCCAATTATTGACTGCGTCTAGACATTCGTTTATCTTAGTTTCAAAGGAACGAGTAGTTCACTGATCACAGTTGAGAGATAAAATAAGTACTCGCGTCAGACGCTCGTACCTCAGTGAAGTCATTTAGGATCAAACAATATAGAAATCTGAAACCGATCCTTAGGGCACACCTGAATGCATTTTAGCCATCCTAGTGAAATAGGTTAATAGATACGAATATCTGTCTGTCCGTCCCGGTTGTTTGAATGGTTAGTTCTCTTGCAATTGTTAGCGTTATGCAAGAGAAATAATTTATGCTAGCAACAGGAAAACTTCTTGATAGCTGATGTGCCAAATTTGGGTCATTTATAGCAAGGAACCCGTGTAGTGTGTTAAAAAAAAAAACAAACTTACGTGGCGGACGCGAGAACGCATTAGAAGCAACAATAATAACTCAAACGAAAAAACTGATAATCAAAACTAGACCGTGGTTTGATTAAAGCTTGGCAAAATACTTGCACTTTGCGTTGAGCCTTTTCTACTTTGACACGGCAAATCATTTTTTATGGACTTTTATGAAAAACTAAACGGTCTGTAAAAAATCTGTTGTTTTCCCTGACAAAGTCTATACATCTGAAGTTTTGTTTGCAATTTTTATACCCACTACTAAAGAATGATGCAAAGTAAAATGAATATTTTATCAAAACATGTGCTGTGCAGACAAGGAATCATAGAGAGTCCGTAAAGTGTATAACAAACGCTGAGTCAATCTAAGGGTATCTGTCCGTTGACTTGTGTGATCACCATTCTTCTGGTCGTAAAAGTTGCATAAATCGGCCACAATCACCTAATATTACAGAATAACGAATTTTCATTTTCATTTTCTATTTTTTTTTTTTTTTTTTTTGCGTTTCCTTTAAGAAAAGAGTAGTGGATCCATAAAGTTTAGAAATGGGCAAATAGTATTTTCATAATTTTTTTTCCTTTTTTCATTTATAATCTTTATGTACGGATTAGTATCTAATAAATTATCCTTCAAATTAATAACTTTATCAACAGCTAAATAGATTTATAAGTAGATTGCTCCTGTCCTCCTATTTTGACTGCGCAATTGCAACCTTAACTGTTCAGTCGATAAAGCAATTAGTTTTTGTACTCTACTCAACTTGCGGTATAAGGGTATATTAAGTTTATGCAACATCGAGCAGGACTTGAGGTAGATCCAATTTTCATAACATGTGATTTATTTATTTTTAAGTTTGTCTATCCGTCTCTTGGTCTTATATTGTTGTAGTTCACTAGCAGACCGTAATTTTTGAGATATTTTAATGAAATTTTGTACACTGACATGCTTTGGCCGAAAGACGAACGCTATCGAAAATCGTTCAGATCGCATCACTTTTTCAACCCTTTTTCACTTCCCATACAATGCCATATTTTGAAAACTCATTGTGTGAATAACTATATGGTAGTGAGGATATTTAATGGTAAGCCATAGCCCACTATGGTTGTTAAAGCAAAATATCTGTTCAAATAAGCGAACTTTAATGTCTCATGTTTCAATTAGTACAGAACACTTTCCCGCAATTCAAAGCGTTTTTCAGATGTATTGAAAAAGCAATGTAACATATAGTAAGTAGATCTAATGCATTGGTTTGTTTTTTAGTTGGCTTAGTTACATCTGGTCCAATCGGTGAATCGCCGATGTTTACGGGCACTTCGGCAACAGCAGCCGCACCGACCGCTTTAAGTGCATTGATGTCACAGCAACGACTCTTAGAGTTATCACGGTTCGGTGGATTGCGTGGATATGATATAGCACAACACATGCTTACGCAACAGGGTGCTGTCTCGAAACTTCTAGGTAAGTGTCCATTTATCTATAAAATGAATATGATGCGATTGCATCATCCATATATAATATAAACGATTATTTTATCGAACATATGTACGATATAAAATGCTATGTAACTGATAGCACAATATGTTGTCTGCCTGTGGACGATTAAATTTTTGTGCTCTTGTTATAACTTTAATTATACTTTTAAATAATCACAGTATTGATTTGATTTGAGTATTATTGTTTAATCATAGAGTAGTGTTATTTGTTTACTCACAAAGGATGCAAGATATTATCTTGTCCGATTTTGTCTTGCGGAAGTGCCAAAAGGTGAATGGAGATTTCACTTTATATTTATTTTGCAATTTATTTGCACCTCAGCCACTGTATCTGCTGCAACACGTTAATGAAATTTTATTCAATTTACTCGTTATTACTACAATCAGCAAACACGGAACAGCATATATTTCTGTTGTCCGTTCATACACACCCATTACAGATTAAAGTTACTGTATGTGCATATACGTATAATGTATGTATTATATGTATGTAAATATATTTATATTGACATATAAAAGTACATGTTTACGTATTATGCTTATATGCATTGGATTCGTTCACTCTATTGAAAGTGCGATCAAACATCTGTCCGACGCTATTCTTCTTTGCCAACGTTTTAGGCCAACTCTGTATACTTTCTCGTTACAATTCATGCACATGCAAGTCGTATACATAATACATACACAATATAATGCTATATATATATATAGTGGATCATATAATTCTTATAAATTAATAATGAAATACTGAACATTTCGAAGTAACTGTTTGTCAGATCATAAAAGTATATTTGTTGAAATGCATTGGAAATATTTCCACTATATATACGCATATCGATGTGTCCAGTTAGAAAGTTAGAGTTGCTTCTTGCTTTTTACCAATATAAATTTGGCTTAATTTCCCGCTCGTTTCCATAGTACTAAGCTCTGCGAATTTGAATATGATGACAACTTTAAAACATATACCCAGTGATAGATCAAATGATTTCGAAAATTGTCTATGACATCTCTTTATTTACACAAAAGCGCTCGAGAAACATAAATACGTAAAGCAATTATTTACGAAAACGAATCCAAGGCAAGATACATATTGTGATTGCCACAGAGTAGATATGGGTTACTGAAGGTCGCTTTCAATACCCTGTGTTATGTATTTATTAACAAATAGAATTTTGAAGCGGTACACTTAACTAAAAGTTAAATAATGTGCTGTTCTTAATAGCAGCGACGTTTTTGTCGCACATAAAAGTCGTATATAAACTGCGGATAAAGAATTCGGCAAAAGCCATATACCATTCATACAAAATTTGTGTTTGTAACTTGGCTACACTTTCCTAAAACACACAAACACAAGCGCATGTTTTTTTTTTGCTTAAGATTGGCATAATTATTTTTATCCGTAACGCAAGAACTTGCCATCGTTTACGCAGCTGTACAGAATTGATTCAATTCCGTAAAGAATTGCATTTGCACTGCGAATTCTGTATAGAGTGCAAGAAACACATCGCCATTGTACAAATTCCTAATTTTCTCTCCGATCATTGTGATCGAATATATATTGTGGTTGAATCACTTCTTTCCCGTTACGAATGATTTTTTTTCTTTCTTGGAAAATTTCTTATTTGCTTTCATTAAACATATGATTATTCTTATCAGCTGTTTAATTATATGATTATTCTTATCAGCTGTTTTTCTTTATTTATTCTGCCGGGTAGTTAGATTTTTGTTTATCTTTAATGATCCTACAAAGGTAGAAATCTTACAATAAAACTTAAGTGAAATGAATGTCGGGAAATATTGGAAAATCGGTGGAAATTTTGAATTGAAAACGGGTCTAAGAAGTTAAATTCATTTTAATCTTTTGTTTTTCTTCTATATAATGAAAACAAATCACTAAAGAGCGGTACTCGACTATGGTTTAAGCTCTGACTTCACTATTCGCTATTAATATTTCAAGAACATCGTAGTGCTTCTTGAGTTAAATATAAAGGTCAACTTATCCTTAAATTATTATTCGACGTTATATCATAAGTAGTTGTAAGAGCAATAAATTATTTTTCAAAACTTTGTTAAAAATATATATGTGTATATATGTAGTTAGGCCTAAGTGGAGAACATGATTTCGCGGTTGGCGATATTAGTAACAGTACTGACATTTACGCAGTTGTTTTCCGGCAACACTTAGGCAATAAAGACACATTGTTCAGAAAAATAGCAAATTCTTTCAAAAAAGAAGAGTTCTTAAGTGCTTTTTTCGGGACGCAATTATATAACGACAGCATTTGTATAATAGGATTTCAGAACTAGCAACTCCTGAGGTACGCATAATATTCTCCAGCTAGTTATGACTTCTCGTTGGACTTCCAAGACCAAAAATAATTTTAATAGAAATGTTGCAAAAAAGCCTTGAGAGGTAGATAGCTACATGCCCTTGTCAATGATAAACGTTTACCAATTTTTAAACACTGAACGCCCCTATTTTCATCGAATGTCTACATCTAAATAAAACCTAGTCACGAGATTTTAGCTGTAACTAAAATTCTTGTGTCTCTGAGGTACCAAATTTTTGAATTTTTACAGATATATCCGCAGCGATTTCAATCTTACCCCTACACACATAAGATCATCGATAATTGTTTAATTGATCATGTACTAGGTACACAAGTGCTATAAAAGTTGCTTTTCTTAAAGTCCTTCCAATTACTTGATATTAATTTTGATGTCAAATTTTCGTACCAATTTGAGCAGTACTTACATCGTAGTTTTACTAAAGTTCTTTTTTTTCTTTTTTCTTTTTTTTTTTATGTATAAAGATGAATGCATGCGGATTGGTGTAGCAATGTTAGCGGCATTACTTAAACGCGTTTTTATTTGCGTAGTTCAACAAAGCATATTATTATATCCACAATTATTTGTTATGAAAGCAATTATGTATGTGTGCGCATACGTATTACATATAAACAGAGCATATAGTCAGGAAGAAGCGTTTTTTTTGCACGATGTTTGTTGTCATAATAAAACCATATGCCTATGTGCGCTTGAGGGTTACAGACTACAAATCAAGTAGCTGGAGTTTAGAATTTTCTTGTCGAGACAAATTTAATAAAACTGACAATTACGATAGGCTTGAGAAGTAAGTATATATGATATACGTAGAGTACAAATGAATCGTTTAATCAAGCCTTTTATGGATCACCTTGAAGCTTTGTACAAGCATCTTCGACGATCTTGTGAAAATTTATGATATATTAAATATTTACGACTCAGAAAGGACTCAATATTGAATTGAAATTTGGTAAAATTATTTCGTAAGATCATTGAAAAGGTAAGCGCAAGACGAATGCAACGCTACCTAGTGAGAATGAGATTTACTTCCGTAACTAGACTGCATTCGTTTGGATGATAATTTTTTAATTATTCTTAGTGTCTACTCCTGTTATTATTAATTGATTTAATTATCCTTAAAGAAGTAAATTCTTAGACTAATGTAAGATGAGCACAGCCAACTAAAACTATCCACTTCACTTTTAAAATAAGGCTAGATAGCTAGTCTAGCCGTTTTAATTAAGTTGAATGTATTTATGTATCGCTGATATTTTTAAAAAGTTCATAGCGCTCCCAAGCTGCATTTTGGAAGTGTTCTGATAATCACCAAATATATATGTTTAATCATAAGTTTTTGCTCACTTTTGCAATTTGGAGGAGTAGGGAGACTTAAGGATCTATTGGCGGTTTGAAATAGTAAGACCAAGGGGAATCTTTGCAAATATTTATGTATATAGTAGGAGAACGCTCAATTCCCAACGATTCGCTAGCCAAAAAGTATTAATTTTATCCACGTAAGTGCTAGTGATCTTTCTTATCTAATTCATTTTTCATTGTTATCCACTTGGAATTTAAAGGCTTTAAGATATAGCTTTTATGACCGATCAACTATATGTTGTGTAAATCGTTTTGAGGTTGATTTTGGGAACGGGAGTTGTGACCTGAAGAATAGTTCTATCTTCGGTTTTCAGTATTGAAAACCTTTCGGGTATGAAAAGAAAATGCCATCATTGTTCAAAACATTGATTTTCTCTGCGATTAATTCTCTGAATACCAGATGTTGCGCATATTTGTAAAGTGATAGTAATCACAGGACAGGAGTTTTAAGACTCATGGCGGTTTGAATCCAAATTTTCAGGAGATGGTTAGGGGAATGGTTGTTTCTCTATTTAACATACACAGAAGGACTGTAATCTTTTGGTACTCTATAGGTTTTTTACCGTCCTCGCTGAGTATTGAATTACTTGATTTGAGAGATTTTTGAAATAATTTTGCTCTTTAACTGATAGACTTTATTTTGTAAAGTTGGTACACCGTTCCCGGCAACCATATTGTATTGGTTCAGAAAACACATGTGCTGACTATGACTGCTTAGGCAAACCGGCTTCAGAATATTGATATTTGCTTTGTCGTTGTCGTCATGTATGATTAAACCGTAGTCGATTTTGATTAAAATATGTATCTTACTGAAGTAGATAACGGTGTTTACGCGAACGAATCATTTTTAAGGTTGAAATGGAAATCTTCATCTGAAGGCAATGTGGTTTCTGACTGTACTTATTGTAAAACATGAGTCTTAATGTGTTGAGGTGCATCAACCAACCTTCCGCATCAGATAAACCTTTTTTATAAATATGCAACTTTTTTGATTTCTAGATTGATAGTCTTGCCATCGCGAATTCAATCCGGTTTGAAGTAAAGTCCAGTTTTCCCAATAATCAATTTAATCGATTTTTGAATGAAAATGTTCTATGCTTTTAAAAACGCAATATTATTTTATCTTTCAAAAATTGAAACTAAAATGGGAATACTTTGCTCAATGACACAAAATAATTTTGAAATGATAGCTAAAAGGTCCCTTGCAAGATGGAATTCTCTTCAATGGAACATGGATTGGGATATCATGAAAAGCACACAACA